CTTTGATTTTTTTTCTTCTTTGTTTAGGTGGCATGTGGTATGGGGTGGATATAAACAACGAAGACATCGCCGATAACTTCGAGGCGTGTGTCTGGGAGCCAGCCATTGTGAAAATCAACGCCATCACGGCTGCTACGGAAGCAGCTTGTCTGATCCTGTCGGTGGACGAAACAGTAAAAAACCCTAAGTCAGGGGGTGATGGACCCCCTGCACCCGCTGGAAGAGGGCGCGGTCGTCCAAGATGAGAATTGGACCCGTGGTTGTGACTTAAGAAATTTCACTGATTGGTAATAATATATTGGACATCTTGTGCGGCGCTTGAGGACACAACAAGCCTTGTGCCCTCGGCATAACTGTACTCTGAGTTGTTCCGAGAACGTGATTTGTTCGGACAGCGTATTTAAAAAAGGAACTGTTATCGAACTGAAAGAGCAGCTAGGCATTATTGAAGAATAAAGAACCGCTGTTATGTTGGAAGTTGTGATCCTGTGGAGGATTTTGTTTGTACTCAGTAATATTTTGAATCGTACGATATACTGTTAAAAATTTGTTGGGAAAAAAATAAGTGCCCAAATTGTTTGGGTTGTGAAATTCGTTGTCCCTGTCATGGCAAGATCTTTTTGAATTCGATTCGTTTAACAAGTTAACTTAGAATCTCCACCAATGACGTATTGATTTCAGGGCTTTTTAATCAGCCCTCAGATCCACTGCCTTTGGTCATTCTTAGCGTAGAACTGGAAGTTGAAGAAGCATCGTTATCCTCTCTTTCCTTCCCCCTTCCCCCTTCCCCCCTCCCATCCCCTTCTCCTGTTGAGCCGATAAACTAAGATCCCCAACAGAAGAATCGCATGAACAACCTTTGAGATTTCTCTCTTTCTAGGCAACTGGTCATTATTCATCGCCTGGGGGCCGGGAAGGAGGGTCGGGGTCGGATGATTTTGGGGGGTATCATTGTTTTCCAGGGGGAACGAACGAAGGGGAGATCAGTCGTTGCTAACAGAGTATAAAGGGGGACTTACCCCTTAGAGATAAGTCTAGCGATATTTCATTAAACGCCCCTGAGCCACGCGTTCTCAGTGTTGCGTGCAAATTATTTTATCAGTTTGCATTCGACGCGAGTGAAAAAAACAAATCTAATTGCAAGAAAGACTTCAAACCTTTATTTCATCATAACTTTTATAAAACGTTTATAATCACAAGCAATTCTGAGCTTAAGCGAACGTGAGTGATCCCTTTTCGAAGAGCAGTTGTAATGCTGTAGGTCCGTTAACTACAAGCAGAAACTTAGAGATGTCGATTGTAATGGGACTTTTCGGAGTTATTTCAAAATAAGTTTACTTAAGTTCGCGTTAATGGTTAATCTCGGCGTCGCTCATTTTCGCCTAATTTGGAGGTAAGAAAATTCTGATAAGTAGGGATTAAAAAAATGGGAAGGTTCGCGTTTAACAGTTGTTACATTTGCCCATTCGTGACTAGGATGGGTGCCACAACTGGCGACAGGTTTCGCACATCGGAGCTTGCCTTTTCAGACTACCTCTTAGTTAAAGTGTGGAGAGTTTCTTCAGGTTTATATCGACTAAAATTTCAAACACATCTTTCAACACCGCTTTCATTAGGTCAGTGTCTGTTGCACATGTCACGTGCAAATACATGTGCTTGTCAGCGGGTTTCTTGGACAAAAACAACTCCCGGATGTAATTTAAACCTATCTCGGGGTCTGGACCTCCTGCAAGCAAGAATATAATATATCATGTAGAAATTGTTTTCTTTAAAAATAAAATGATCTTTTTTAACCACTCTTCCTCCAAAAACAATGCGAGGAGGAAATCAGCGTACCCGTCCTTTTTTAAAGTGCGATTCCAAGAAGCAATTTGAACGGGGCGATGGGGACGACGGGGCACCGCCCCAGGGGTGACTATGTCATGGATCGTATGTACGGGGGTTTTGCCCAAAGGGAGCGCCTTAAATTTTCTTAAAACAAGTCGGAGAAGAGGATTGCAAGAGAGGGTAAAGGAGGAGTGCGGTGTGGAATTTTATCCTAAGTAAGTAAAATAGATAGCTTTTGGACCAAAACTGACATTTCAAAGGTAAGGGTGTAGGTCTCAAGTTGGAATAAAACGTACAAAGCCTTAACCCCCCCCCCTTCCCCTCCAGCCAATCTTGCACCATTCAGAATGTTGGAGGGTGGAGGATTTGCGAGCCTACTGATACTACTGCTCCTATACAGAAAGTAAAGTTTTATCAATCTCGTTCTTATCACAACGGATTGTATAAGGCCCAGCCAATCAAATATCAGGAAACATTTTATTTTCGATCGTGGTCAAGAGTTTTTTCTGGCCAGAAAAAGCATGAGCTTGCCCGGGAGAATACTAAGAAATTACGCGTGCGCGCAACGGTAAGCTTCCCTCTCGACAGAAGCAAGGCTTCCCGTTCGCTCAGCCTATCAAGCAATCTCAGCTTTGAACGTCGTCCACTTACCGTCGTAGTCGGGAAAGCACGCAGACAGATTTGACGTCTTCAGCTTCTCCACGAATAAGTCATGCTTGTTAAGAAAGAGAATAAATTCCGTCTTCTCAAGGAAAGCATTTTGACTGATTTCTTCAAATAACTCCAGGCTGTCATGCATAGCATTCTGCGACCCAATAAAGAACGAAAAAAAAAATGGAAATGTATTTTTAATTATGAATTTTAACGCCTAAATGAACAAATTAAACACAAAGGGTTTTATGTCTGTATCTTGATCCGCTGTAGCTTTATATCGAATACTTTGCTCAATTTCGAAATGGAGACATTCAAAGGACTCTGGAATCTTGATTTGGTGTCCTTTTTAAAAAATGTGGCAACTTCGAAAATCTTCGTGAACATTCGGAAACACCGAACAGTAGCAGGACGACTTACCGAATTTTCGTCCTCCTCGACGAATTCGTCGTAGCTACTCAATGACACAAAGAACACAACGGCTGTTACACCTTCAAAGAAATGAATCCACTTTTTGCGTTGACTTTTTTGTCCTCCAACATCTATAACTCTGTTAACAACAAAGAAAATAAGTAGAAAATAAGGTGACAGCGATGAGATCTACAGAGCTTTGGAAGTAGCTCATAAGTGTGTTGAGACAGGTGAAGGTGCTGACAAGGAGAACTCTTGTAACAATCAAGAGCTAGCTGATGATCATTTCTTTTTTTCTCATAACTTTTTTTGTATGATTTAGGGGTGACATTGTAAGGAGAAATTAGATGCCAGTCACCCTTAGGGTCAAGAGTTAAGCCTCGTAATGATCTTTTTAAAAGTAATCTGAATATTCTTAAATATCTTTACCACCTTACCTGTAATTGTAACTGTTTACTGAAATTTTTCTTTCTTGAACACCTTGAGTTTGTTGCCTAGCGTGCAGAATATCCTCGTGTGTTGGGATGTAATCGGGATGTGATAGCCTTTCGAGATTCTCAAAAAAACTGATTAAAAAACAATAATGGGCGCAATAAGTCACAGGTTACACAGGCTACGAATGGCCTGTAAACGCCTTCATTATCAACGCTGCAGGACGCACTTTTCTCCGTGCGTGGGAAGATTTGAGAGGAGTCGAGGATAGGTTTTGCACTAATAATCAGTGCAGACATCTCGCAAGTGAAGAGACTCTCGCGCCTACGCGTCAATAATGAAGGCCTTGCTCGCAGGCAACAACTTTCATTGTAAAGACAAGCGTACTATACGTTACTCTTGTAAATAAGATACCTATGAGGAAGAAAGAGCGTACGATAGCTCTACATTATGTCTGATTGCTCAATATACCAGACATTACTAGCTTATTAATATTTAACGCTACATTACGAAAGTAACATCAAGAAAACCACCTTCAGTTATCCGAAATCTTTCTGTACATTCACACTTAAGTAGGTCTGTCAAAGTATATTACCCGCAAACCATGCAGCTATCGCGCGAGTATGTCGCAGTAATCACGCCAAGAGAGGCTGAGGTCGCGCTAAAAACGCTCTAAAAGCGCGTTCCGATACTAATTCTTTCTGTTTTCTCTTACAATAATCAATGGTAACCGATATTTTTATAGTTTTACTTACTATTTAGCGGAATCGTCGATGTAAAACAAATTTCTTTGGCCAAAGCAAGTCTGTACTGAGGAGTCGTTCCAGAATTTTGTTAGCAACGGAACTCTGTCTGCCAGCGAAAAGTTGTTATTTTCACTGTCTTCTGAGTCGGCATGTTCTAGTAGCTCCTGATGGAGGTCCTGGGTGAATAAATGATAATTTTGGATTTAAAATTTAGGTATACAGCTGTTTCGAGAGAGGCTGTCGGAAAAAAGGACAAAAGTATATGCGCTAATCTGGAAAGGTAATCTGTCTAGCTGATCGGGGTATCCGGTAATCAGAGAATGTTAATAAGTCAAATAAATAAATTCATGAAACCCGCGATACTTCATCTTAACAGTTTCCTTGAGGTCGAAGAACCGTGACCTTAGAATCACACACAATACCTTTAGGGGTTGTTGCGGGCACTTGACGCTTTTTTTCTTTTCCGCCTACCTTTCTCAAAATAGCTGCATGCAACCCAAGGGGCTTATGCTCTGCGGCGCTCAGCACCTGATCGAGATCAAAAAAAGTGGAATGTGCGGAAGAAACATGCCCAAATTTTATCCGATTCAATTATGGCTGATCGCGCCTTAATTCCTTGTGCTAAACTTAACAGGCAAAAAACGGAAAATGAATGAAATCCCGCAAAATTTCCGCCAAAAGAAATTGAAATTTTCATGGGTATTAATATCCGGAAACATATGAAGGGAAACGGAGAACTTGAAACTCCCAATTATTTGTTTTTATGAAATCATTCGATGCATGTCACCGCCCATTTACGGTTTCAAAGTGAGCAAATGCACGAATAGAAGGCGTCGCGTGACAAGAATCTTTGATTTATGTTCGAATTTGTTCTGCCACTGACACAATATTTGCATGAGCAAAGACCAAGACTTAAACGAGGTTACCCCAGACTGTT